CCCTTTCTTAACCTCTTCTCCCGCACGCGGCACGGCATTTTCGTCACAGAAGAGTTGGAATTTAGATACACCAGATCAATCGCATGAGTCCTTCCGGTGCCGGTATGAGACAAGTCCGTCGCATCCAGCCATCATCTGAGTTAATCTCACTTCCCATGTGCGTCCGTCGCCGAAACACGTCGTCCATTTTTCGCCTGGCTTGTCGCCACACCCCCGTATCCCTTGGCAGAATACTCTCTCTGGGAGCCCACGCTACTCAGAGGTCAAAAGGTCTGGTAGTTAGGATTTGTCTTGCCATAAGCCTACCATTACTTGCAATGCCTGCATTCAGCAGCACCATTCGAGGTTCCGTACTCACCATTCTATAGATCATGTCGTAACTCCAGCGTTTGTATATGGCCATCAACTCATTGTGTACGAAAATGCTGCATATTGTGTGGACTCGCTACTTCAAATCAATTCCTTGCAATGCGCTCGAGCCCGATCATGCTTCGGAATGAGTATCACAAGACCAACCCGATATTTGGCAAAGGAAGTAACCTGCCTGACAGTTCAAGCCCTTAGCAGGACATCGGCTACTCCCTGTCGTTCAAAAAGCAACGAAGATCACGACTCAGAAAATATTCAGTGACATTGAGGGATTTTAACCGCCCTCTAGCCATCCTGACCATTCCGCCCTCAACGGCCTGTTTCGATCGGCGACGAAAGGACTTCATGACGTTTGATGGTAATCTACCTAGGCAGAGGGTTTGAATTCCCGCATCGCACTGTCATGGCTGAGACATGAGAAGCCACAAAACAAGGAACGAGGACCGCGAAACTACGCAATCTAGCACGCCACAGTTTTCGAACAAGCCTGCGATTTTATTTCTATTTTTGGTATATTTGTTAATATCCCAGAAGCAAGCATGATGGGTTACTTGCAATTGAGTGGCCACAACAACTGGACAACCACTCCGTTCCCGTCAACTGACAGGTTGGCGGAGCAAGATCATTCATCATCCATGACGTTTTATCGGCTCAACTGGCCATTCTCGGATTCAACGTCTCACCTGCATGAAGCCAGGCATCTAAACCCCGAGACCGGATGGAAGGTGAGAATCCCGAGCCAAAACATGTCCGAGACCTCGACTTACACTGCTCCAGACCCAGATCTGGCTAATTATCCGCTTCTCGCATCAAATGTGTCTCAAGACTAAACCGCGGCAGCACTTGCCATTTTTATCAACATTTTTCGGTCATGTAAATGATGAGCAATGGATCTCTACACCATGATGTCGAATTTATTGTTTTCAACTTGACAGTAGTCACCAGGCCAACTGGCAATAACACTGACCAAAACCGCGGCATGGAAGCAGTACAATCCAAGAGTCCTGTAGCAATGGAAAACTATATATTTCCAGCAACCCAGGGGCGCGAGATCTCCCGCATGGCAATATATTAGATGCAAAGAGGGTCAATGGAAAAGTTATGCCCCAGATCCCTACCATAAGCCATCGGGCGCGTGGATATGCCCAAATGAACTAGCCAAATACCGACGCTACGCGGAACGGGTACTTTCTTTTTAGGTTTGGCTGTGTGTCACCGACGCAGTGGCATCGTTGAGGACAAATGATGATCGTGTCCTTCAAGGGGCCCTGTACGACACCCATACAGGGCAAGCGATCTCCGATACTAGACAAGATGTGCCTGCTTGCATTCATGTTTCTGATATACCTCACTGAGGAGGTCTCAAAAACAGGACTCGACTGCTCTCGGTTCAGATTTGTGATGTTTCTCAATAAGCAGATTATCATTCACTAATCAACGCCATGTTCAAAACCAACACGGTCCAAGCAATTGAGTTTGATGACAAAGCTGCAGTAGCCATTCAAATTCGAACACACAACAGCATGAATGAACTTTACAGTTGTTCCAAACTCAAGGCGGTTTGACATGCCATACATGAAGCTGAGCTTGTGAGACTACAACCACATGTCTACATGCTTACAAGGATGCTCAAAGCCGTGTCATTCCATTGAAGGAACACAGGATCTCTCACCGACATGACACGGTCATTTTATCCGAGCAATATTGAGATCTACAGCCACCTCTGCTATTCGCTCCAGGGTACTCCGTACCTGGCAATAACACGACATTTTGGAGCTTGGGTCAACTACCAGTTCATGTTCTCGACGACCAACAGACACTCAATAGTGGACCCCCGTTCTCCCAGTCCATCGGCCAGGGAGGCATCGGTTGCCGGCATGCCGGGCTGTCTGGTACGGCCGATGGTTCAAGAGCCAAGGCGCAAGGCATCCGCCATCTCGGAATTGACTATATGAAGAATAAGTCTCAACACTGATGAGAGGTGTAACATGTGCGACATGGAATATGTGCTTGCTGTGTTATATGCTCGTATGGCGTGCAGCCAGAATGCACGTTGTTGCGGCCCCTCACATCAGGGCTGTTGTGACTCTGCCAGCCATGCGTAAGATGTGACAAGTCTCTCTTTGCAAACGTTTGTCACTTGCATCAATCACGACATGCTCGTCGCCTATTGGCTTCGTGTCTGGAATCCTTTGACTCCCCCACTCGCCTTCTATCCAGCCCCGGCAGCAACAGCGTCTGTTCAGGGTGCCAAACCAGGGCTTACTGAGTACAGGGTACTTGGATAAAACTTGGCCAGCCAGAACCAGACAATTCAGGCTACGTCGTCCACACTATGCATAATTGCCGCACGTCATGGCCCGTCGGCGGAAGACAAAACCAGAAACGGTCCGTCTGAACATCGGCGACCTGAATATCAAAAGCAGCCAACATCAACACATGATCTTGTTAGGATCCCGAGGCTCCACCTCGAGGAATCTCGGGATTGAAAGATCCAAGGATAACCAAGTTACATCTCGGTCAAAAGGAGGGCATTTGAGATAGTCAGGGCTTCCTTGGTCCTCGTCCTGATGCCCGTTGTCAGACTCTTTTGGGTCCTTGATCGTCGCAGTCCAAGAACGCAAGGCAAGGCGCAGCTAACCTCGTACAGAAATACCGAGCGCGCTACCGACTTTGGCTCCCCATTTTGCCGCTCGCCATGTCCCAAGGGCTGGAAGCTAGCGGGAAATCTGTGCACATAAGACGATACGAGATCCACCACGAATAGCTTGTGTTTCTTATTTCGGTTTTATTTTCTTGAGAAGAAAAAAAGCCCCCAATCACCGTGAGAGAGGAAACACGCCGAAAATCCTTCCCCCCTTCTTTCTCCTTGATCCGCAGAGACGATATCTGAGTAATCAAAATGACACAATTTATTGTAAATAAATGCACTTCGTTTTCTTTTGCCCCTTATCTCTACCAAAGTCTAGTTGCCATCCGATAATGGTTGGTGCCGTCTAACAACAGTCAATTTTCATAATAGACTTGCACAAGGCGCAAATGACCTCCACAGCACACAAGATTCAGGTTCTACAAACTCGCGGCGTCGTCGTAGCCTCCGTTCCGATGCGCGGGTTCGTCACATCTTGCATCTCTACCAGGCCGGAGGTTTTTCGAAAGCACAGACTCTTCTTGGTCCATTAAACTGAGTCAATTCTCATGGAGCATGGGCTCCGTGCTAGAAGCCGTTGATTTAGCACACTCTCCTTACCCCGGAAAGACGAAAGTGCCAAGCAACAATAGCTCCACAATGAAACCCGCTCGACCATTCGAACAGATACTAAGTCCGATACGGATTGGATTGTCCGCCTCCTCATCTACGTGAATGTATAATTATAGCACTATCTACCTACCTGGGTAGGTAGGTAGGTAGTCACTAGTGGCAGCGCTCAAACCCCCCTTCTACAAAGACGATCTCTCTACGCCTCCTTTGGGCTTTTGCTTTGATTCCAGTCTTCATGTACGCCTAACCGGAATCGTACGCCACAATTCGTTTGGCGTGCTTTGCACTGTTTTCTACGCCGTCATTCCCCTAACTGCTTGCTGTGCTTTGGCAAAAAATCCCCGAGGTCAAGATAATACTACACGAGACGAGGGACGTGGCAATGCCCCCGACAGCCCGACCAACAACAGCTTATGTTTCTCAAATTCCAATACCCCTGCTAGTTAACAGTTCCAGTTGGTCGCAGCTTATGTACCCAACAGCAATAAGGCCCAATTCCACCACTTGTGATGGAGAGAGCATAGGTCAGTCCAATGCCAAGGTCTGGCAAAGACGCGAAAGAAGAAAAATGGCCCTCTAAGCCAGCTGAGGGATTGCCAGCGTCAATCTGACGGGTATCTTCCCCGGGCATGTTGCACATATTGTGAGACAGATTTTACGTTCCAACGTGTCCACACTGCCCATGGGAGGTTGGTCGGTTGTTTTACACCAGTGAACCCGGTCAGACAGATAGTGAATCGATACTCCGTAGTGGTATTCTGCTGTACTCTTTTGAAGCTATTCTCTCATCATTCCACTGTCCAGCCTGTCTGTACAGGCATTACTACTAGGTGAGTATAACATGTCTTTGTCTAAACAAGTCCAGCCCATACCCCGTCGCTGCTCAAATCAAAACGATGAGACAGTCATAATCTGCACCAAAATATTCCAGATACAACAACGCCAATAATGCCAGTTATCCACCTCCGAACTAAAAAAAGAAATGCCCGAGGTATCCGAGGTTTTCAAAACCTATATACAAAACAACAAAATGTGTGATTCAAAGTCGAGACACAAGCAACAAAACCTAGCAAGAAAAAGCAACGTTGGTAGCCGGAAGAAAGCACATTCCATCCGGTCCTAGAATAGTGGCACAGGGCCGCATCAGGATCAGCGCTACGCCAGTATCCTGTCGCTCAGAGATCAAACTGGCAGGCCCGAACCCTTGTCCTACCACCCTGCAGCGGAACAAGAAGATGTTGATCATTTATGAGATGTAAAACTAAAACGTCGCCGTACAATTTCTCATTTGTCGTAGAAGCCGTCAACATGGCGATTGTATGCGCCCAGGAAAAAGGATATTGGAATCCCTCACGTAGATGCCGTCAACTTAATTTCTATCCTCAGGTTTCGGACGCAGAGATCGGGCTTCTAGCTGTCGTTTCCGTTCGAGCTTGGCATAATGAAGACCACAGGCATTGCAGAGAGTTCTAGCACCATCAGGTCCTCTTCTCCACTCGGGGGTATCAATCCTGTTGCAGCTGTGACATCGGCCAGGTGGTGCAGCCCGCTGTAGATGCTATTAGTTTTACCATGGAAATACAACTGTTCGAAGAAATAGGTCACTTACCCCGCGACGCTTCTTGACCTCCGTCATGGTGTACTGAGCCTTCATTCCGTTGTCGTACATCGGCACATCTTGATGCTCCTCGAATGCCCCTTTGATTTTGGTGCCTTCCCTAGCCCTCTCGTTTTGGATAGATACCTGAACAGCATCCCTGACTTGCTCCAAGCACCGTTTAATTATGTCGATATTCCCCAGCATATCGTTGACTTCCCGCTCAGTGGGTAATCGCTCGGGAAGTGGGTGAGAACCGTGCTGTTCCTGCGCAATTCGTCCATAGGCTTCAGCAAAGTTGAAGATAGTTCGCGAGGCAGAGCCAGTCTATTTGTTCAAATCAAACGCATTAGTGTCTATTCAAGTTTTATTGAACAGGTGATGATGTTCCAACATACATGGCTGAGAGCTTCCTGGTAGTTCCACGGCTCAAAGTGTCGAGTCGGAGCGGGTTCGAACCTCGGCCGACTAGGATACTCGGCTTCCTCATGTCGTACAGGCTGTCCACGAGAATCATATTGACCAGGGGCCGGCGGTACGGCATGCCTAGGTGAAATCGGATACGTAGGCAGAGGGACTTGGCCGGGAGGGAGATGCCCCGCAGGATAAGGATGCGACGTGGGCGGTGGTGGATGACCATACGCTCCATTGGAAGCGTGAGCATCCGACTGTTGTTGAGATTCAGCAAGGCGGTGTTGCGGAAAGTCAGGCTTTGTAGGAGGAGTTTGCCGGCGGTCAGAAACAGGTGGCAAGCTGTGTCGACCGTTGAACGGAGGTCGCGGAGAATCGGCGAATGCAGGCAAGTTTTCTTGTCGAGGAGGATATGTTGACGATGTGTGCAGCTGTTGAGGCGAATGCTTCTCAGGTTCAGAAAATGAGCGAGGAGCAGGTGTGAAAGGTGAGGGCAGGCCAGAACCAGGCTGCAAATTCGGCTGGGTTGGAGGGGGGTACTGGCCCGGCCTAGTCCCAGATATAACCTCAGAAATAGATGGCAGAGATTGTCGACCAGGCTGTTCCTTGTCGTCAGAAGGTCTGCGGTGCTCGCTAGAGATCATGTTGCTGCCAGAGTTTGACGGTGGTGGCGGCGCTGTTCCGGTCTGATGTTGTGGATAGCTAGAGTATGAAGAGGACTGAGGGTAGTGAGAGCTTGGTGCGAGGACTGTGGCCGTGGCCATGACGTGCTGTTCTTGATACCGCCTTTCCAGGTGTTCTCGCGGAGATTGATATGAGCTTGGCGGGGCCGAAGGAGACGGCTGATGGTGTCGCTGGTGTTGTTCCGTGATAATGGCAGAATTTGGATGGACACTATAGACGACAAGTCTGTTAACAATGCAAAGAGGGGCAAACACGAGATGCAAAGAGTGGCGGCTAGTGAAGGCAGTCTCGTATGTAAAACGCACCTTGAGCGGGATCCAGAGTCACCTGGTTCCATAGCGCGCGTGGCAAGGGACCAAGGAGGATCTGGAAAGTTATGACCGTAGACACATCGGGCTGCGGCCAAGGATAATGCACTTGTCTCGACGTCGGGTAAAATGGACAAGAGCAAGAGCGGAATGGGGACGTTGGTGACCGGTAGGAAGTACAGCCGCGAAATCCAGAATCGGCATAGAAGTTTTTCCTACCTCGGAGGGTGGGAAGGGGATGAGGCTGCTCATATAACGAGGGTAGGAGGAGACAGACGGATAAAAAGAACAAGGGAATAATAGCAATATAACAATAAAAAGTACCGATACCAGCAAGCCACCTAAGGCCCGGGTTAGACTGGGGCAAGGTTGAAGGAGATCTGACGCGATGGGCACTACCTCGTGGTGGCGTTGGCGAGGATGGCACTGGGGCAGACAGGGTCGGCCCAGCCAGCCAAACTCAGCACTCAGCTTGATCCAAAGCCCAGAGACTATTACTCCGTCCACACGTATGTACACTATTACATAGGGGAGAGGTCCACGTCCACAGAGCCACAGAGCCAGAGAGCCATTGAGCAACAAACTGCCAGCCGACAAGGGTTTGGCAACGCCGGTAGGGTAGGGTGGGCTTGGGCGTTTGGCTGGGTCCTAGTCGAATAATGAGATGGGCGAAGTGGAGTCCTCAGATGAGAGAGATCCGCGGCACTGGATTGTGCTTGTCTCTGCGCTTTGGGGGGCGCTGCTAGCGAGTTTGGCTTGGTAGCCGGGGCCGCGATACAACGTGGGAGGGCGATGGTGGAGGTGCGCCAGAGTCATCACTAGCCCGGGCTGGGAGGGCGTGCGACCACCAGCAGGACCCCAGAGGTGGCGTGCGTGTAGGAATCGATCCATTGACGACATGGGGGTCAAAATATGGAGTCGGGAAACCACCCAGCGCCAGGAGTCCAAGAGTCGTAACGATCACGATGGCCATTTGAGAGGCGTGCAGGATCGATGAGCCGCCCTTCTGGCGCTCTTCAAACGCACGCCAGCCTACGAATCGAGCCAAGCCCCGTTTGACCGCCGGTGGCCCGGTGGCACGGCCAACATTGAAGGCCAGCTTCGCACCCCGCGCCCTTGGCTCTCGGGGAACTGGAATGTCGGGATGGGACGCCTGAGCTTTGAGCGTCGCGTGTAAGGATCAGCGGTCGCGCTAACTAAGAATGCTGTCGTGACAATAACGGCAGGCTCGGTCAACTAACTGGTGGCTCGCTCGGTGGGCAAGGGATAAGCCGACGGTTATATAGATTCGTGCTTCTAGAGGGCTTCTGATGGCGGTCCAAGTGGGACGAGAGTTGATGCTGTGGGTGCGGCAAATGGATGATCCATCCAGGTTGTCAGTTTGCGAGATTGTCGAGCCTAAAAGTGGGTGGCGGATGGTTGAGAAATAAGACGACACGCGGTGCTTGGGCTCACCACAAAGTCAAGCCCCCGAGCGATCTTCGACTTCAAACAGAGACAGGCGAAGTGGTTGGTTGTGTCTGCTTCATGCCCTGCTCATGAGCCTGTTGGATTGGTCGGATCGGTTGGATCGTTGGATGGCTGGATGGTTAACTGATTTGGCTGGCTGCCTCCCACACAACCATAACGCGCACTCGTGGGGTCTGTTGAAAAGCCAGATCGTGGTCCATTGGTGGGAGGCAGATTGCTGTCCAAATTGCGTGGGTGTGACGAGTGCTGTCTACCATGGATTGGGCACATGAGCATCAGGTGTGCCAACCCCCGGACTAGTGACGAGATATCTGGGCTTGTATCGAATCTAACGCAAGGCGTGAAGCCCCATAACCCAGAAACCGATGCGTGTGTGTAAGATTTCCGTGCAGGTCCGCGTGTCGGGGGAGTGCATGCGCACAATGGGTGTGCTGGTGTGCTAAACATTGAAATCACTGAGCACAGGCGTTCGAACGTGTGGCAGATCGAGGGCATCTCAGGGATCAAATCGGCAGTGCGGAGATTCGTGCATGCAATACCGACGTATTCCTGTGTTTTGCATCTTGTATCTCGCCGCATTTATTGATGACGGGATGCTGGGGAGTGCGCGCATGTTCTCAGATGCAAGTGCTCGGGGTTCAAATTACACGCCCGTTCTGTCGTGATCTGAACAATGATGCGATGCAATTTTCTTTCGCCTTGTTGCCTTTATTTTTTTTTTATTTCTGGCCTTGTTAGCTAGAGAGCTGCTGCTGTTGTTGTGCTCGAGCTCCTTCCCGCTCGCCTTGCAGAGTGGCTACAGAAAAGGAGATTACCTCGAGAAATATTTGGCTACGCAAAGGCAGGTGCCACCCACTGCCACCGTCCGGACATCTGAGAATCTGGATCGTTCAGTTCTGTACGTACTGCGCCTACAATCTTGGGTCAAGTGGATGGTCGTATGCATTCTTCCAGCACGGCCTGCAATTTCAGCATCTGCTGCGATGATACCCCGTCCACCGTTGAACCGATGTAAAACTGTTTGAAACATGTTTGTCATGGCTCGATCCGAACTACGGAGCAGCGTCAGAATCGGCCGTTATTAGCTACAGTTGCAAGGTACGTGCAACCAGACAATCTCTTACCTGAGCTAATGGCACATCCTAGGAGCCTCCTGGTACGAGAAGTCTTGGCTGCCTTGACAACATATCGAGAGGGCTAGCCGTGACCAGGGTACACCAGACGGACCAGTTGTGGCGGTCAACATGAGTTGCAGCCGCACAAATTGGGGGGGTCCTCGAACTGATTCAACAACACACCAATAGGTGCGGAAATTTCGGAACCAAGATAATTGAGCTGAATCATCTCAGTTCCGTGCAGGGCGTCACTCCAAACATATCTGGGTCTCCTTCCTCCAGGACATTGGCATGTTTGGCTCTTTCAAGCTGTCGGTTTCGGATGTCCATACTCTGCTCATACGGTAGCTAATTCCCATTCTTATTAGCAAATATATATTATGCCGCCAGACGTCCGACAGATAACAGTCCGGATTAAGCAGGCTTATCGTCGGAGGTTTCTTCCAGCACATGCGGTGCTGTCTGTGGGCTCAATGTGGTACTGCCAAGTAAACTCTAATGCTTTTTTGCACAGACCGACTGTGAACGGAATGTCTCGACCTGCACGGTTGCAGTATGCATCAAGTTCAGTTCACCTCGCGCATAACAACATGACATTAGCAGCTATGGCCTTCATGCAAATGAGTACTAGCCTTGTGATGCTAGAAGCAACAAAACAGTCAAAAAGTACAATGTCTTCCGAAAAGTTCGATCCTAGTTGGTTGTGGCCACTGAAGGAAGACGAGCGAGCGCGATGGACCCCAAGACGCAACCGATCTTAGCCCACTAATCTGTAGATATAGCCGATTTGGGGGTGGATCTTAGCGCGCCAATGTTATTGTGTGCTTCCTTGTGGTCGATTCGACCACTTGTTTCCGCAGCCTCTCAGCTTCCGGTAATCAAACTGACTAACATCCAGTTGACGCTCTTCTGGTGCCAAGGACGATGCGTTCTTGACTACTTTACTTCTGGTCCTAGTGATAGCAAACACTCGTTGCTCTACATGCCGAGTTATAAATCATTACCTGGTGGGCTGAAATTCCCTCTCCGTTCGAGTCTGCTGTGTCGAGTCACTGGTACACCTGCTGACCGAACACCTACCTAGGTAAGGTAGGTTTGGTGGGGTAGACAAACCCAGCCACCGGGATGCCTTGCTTCTTTTGCAGCGAGTCATGGCACACGGTGTTTTGCCCAGGTTTACAACAAAGCTTTAGTTCAGTTGCTGCAGGGCCAGGGCATCTGATACATTGCTAATGCCGCGACTTACCGACCGCCGTTACTGTTTGTATCGAGTCAGACAGAACGTAGAATTCTTTCCCACACAATACCGAGCTTACAACATCCTCAACATCAATGATGTCTTGCTCAGTGTTATTGTATCAATCAGGGAGGACGAATATAATACTGGGGCATGAAACATACAAATTAGCATTGTCTTGGCAGGTTAATCATGTGCCCTTGGTAGGGTTCGTGGGGTCTGACATCATGAGGAGTCTAGCAGAACACCCTTCGGAACTTGATCTGGCTGCTGCGAGGACTCTGCCACCGAAAAGCTTACCTCCGATACCCAGTAAGTTGGTTCTCTCTACCAACCCACCAAAGCCCCACACAAGGTTTCTTTATTACAGATCCCTGTACGGAGTCTGGTCGGCCTGGATCATCCCATCTGGCTGCATATTGACCTGAGATGAACACGTACGGAGTGCTTTAAATCAAGAGCACGCTACTTACTCGCAACTGACAGGCATTAGTTATCTCTGTAGTTGGGGATAGGAGGGGCTTGGTTAGAAGGAATATTCATAATTCTGGCCCAAGTGCCACCCAAAGTAACAGGAGCAAGCTGATATTCTTTCAGTCTTTTCCATTCAGTCGTTTCCATTGTGTGGTCTGGAGTATAATCCAACTGGTCTCCTGCTTGCGGCTCACAGGGGTTTTTGAGAACACTACATCATCTTGGACATGATACTCTGGGCCTAAAAAGGCTGACATGCTCAGTAATTTGGGAGTGGTCCCTCTTACTGAAGACAGAGGTAATACATACACCGCACGCTGCGGTGTTGGCTATGATGAGCCTGGCCAGCGGTTTCGCGCCCCACATTACGCGACGGTTCCGCGTACTCAAAGACAGGACAACTGGCGTCGCGGCCCGTTCGGCACACAAGAGGCGACGGGATGATATTCGGGAATTTGAGACCAAAAAGAAGAAGT